CTCTGATCCTCCCTGTGCTGTACTGGGGCATCTCAAATCTCATGGAAGCATGACTCGTGCATTTATATAAGATTATTCTCAGTAAACCCACACAGAGTGGAGCAGTCTGCGCTCAGACTGAATGGAGCTTTATATTTCTTAATGCAGCAAATAAGGATTAAAGCATTAAGCCAAATATAGTTCTCACGATAGCTGGAGGAACCAATTACCCTCAGTGTGCGCATGTTTCCGTTAAAGGCATCTGCACGCTAAATTTGAACAAACGTGGGAAAATCACAACCTTGGAGGTTTTGTGTTCATGTTTTTCGTTTAATTGTGGGTTTCCAAGCTCCGAGTGCCAATGTTCTTTCACCACACGCAATTCAACTGGTCTTTCATTGATTGACACCAGCATCAGATGGATGGAGAATAACCATGAAGTGATTAAGAGAGGCATCAGGAGAGCAAGTAGGTGAAGAATGAAGCCTCAGTACCAGTCATTTCTACTATGAAGCAAAACATATCAATGACAAGATATCAAAGTGGAATACAATGAACAAAATTCATTTGTTATTCATTTGACTTTATTTTCCAGTTGATATTTTTCTTAATGAAAAGTGTCTTTATCTTTTCTTTTTTTTTTGCAGGACCATTTCATACCTTTTATTAAGTCATTATAAACACAATGACATTTTAGTTAAGGAATGCTGTTGAATACGTCTCAGTCTGGATATAATTCAAACTCTTCTACATTAACTATATGATCATTTTTGATTAGAGCTTGTAGTTTACACTTGTAGATTAATAAAGGTGACAGCTGCACCACTGTGATTACTGATTAGAGGAAAGTATTTGTTTGTTTTTCACAATATTCAAAGTTCTATCACAGTTGATAAACACTGGCAAAAACATAGATTATAATGGTTCACAATAGAACAGAAAACTTATAATCAAGTTTAAGGAACAACCTCTTCTGTTTTTATTTTTTATCAGTATATATGGCACCTGTGTTCTATATGACCTTTTCTTATGGCATGAAAACATCTAAATAATTAATAAATAAATAAATAAATAATAATTTGATCTTACTTAATTAATAAAATATATAATTAATGTTTCACTTCTTAAGATTAAATATATATGTTTAACCGTTCAAGGTGGCCCCCAATACAGTGACACAACATTCAGTTAAATCTTTATTTTTAATTGTTTCAAACATTAAATAGCTATGCACTGTTAATGTAAGAGTAAGTTCACAAACAGCTCAGCTATGAACCATTTGTGCAGAGGGAGTAAACAGCATATGTGCTTTAGTTACACAGAGGAGGAGCTAAAATGGCTGCTTATGGACTGGGTCCATGTTCACAGTCACCCCTAGGTGGCAGCATTGCACTTCAGAGATGTGTGTGTCTCCTCTGGCCTTGTGTAACCTTTCGTCCCATATCCTGTTCCCCAGGATGGTGGTACAACATGCACACTCAGGGTAACAGGATTACAGTGAGTCATTACGGTAACATCAACACACCAGTGTCGAACCATCAGAGTAAAAAAATCAGTTAACTTCCCAAAATTCATGACTCGAAATATCAAAGGATTTCAAAGGGGAAGATTTTCAGGTAGTTCAGTGGAACTAACTTTCACTTCCTGTGGGAAAAAGTTATTAGTAGTGTGAATTATCTTACAAAGTTACACACACGCACACACACACACACACACACACACACACACACACACACACACACACACACACACACACACACACAGCCTTACTTAAGAACAACTTTCCTTCAGTAATAAAGGCCACAGCGTCCTCCTGGTTCTGGAGGTCCAGTCGGTCCAAACCTTTAAAATCAGTCTGAATGAATTGTTTCATTATTGTTTCTTTGGCTTTGGATTTACCTTTGAGTGTAAATAAACTGTTGAAGAGGACAGAGTGGACACGCCCTGTTCCAGTTAGGCATCTGTTTTGTTTTCACATGAGTCATTTCATTGGTCAAGAAATGTGACAAGTGAAAAATATTTACTGCTTACTTCCTGTGTATCTATACGATGACTCAGAGAGTGACAGTCAGTATCAATAACAAAATTTTCCATGTTGAGCAAGTATCATAGTATTTTTTTAAACCTGACACTAGCTGTAAACAATTGATCATGCAATCAATAAAGGCATGAATGAGAGATTCACATACTTGTGCTTGTTAGGCTTCCTTGTGCGTGGAAACAGTTTTTGGTGGCATATTTGATGTTTTCTAAGAACTGTCAAGACAGCAGCGGGTGCCAAATATAACCTGTCTGACTGGTGAAATAACTGAATCAACCTGTGGACCACAGAATGCAGCCAGAAAGGAAACTGATTCTCACATGTGCCACTGAATAAAGAACACGTAACAAAGATTTAATTAAAATAATAATAATAATAAAAGCTCTGAAAACGCTCCAGCAAAAATCAGAGCAAACCCGACCTGGTGCGCGAGTGTTTGTCTCTGTCCCACTGAAAACTGACAGTAGATCCTGGGCCTCTCCTGCTCTACTCTCATGTCGTCACAGTGAACTGTTCAGAGCAAACTGTCATGTGATTACAACACTCCCTCAGGGCACAGAGCTCCTGAAAATGAAACTCCCAGTCCGAGCTTGTAGAATTACGCCTGAGATCTTCACCTTTTGACAGAGTGTGAGGAGGACGTGTTTACCGGGAAATGTTAGTATTGTAGTGGATGAGGTGGTGCCCACATTCAGTGCCAAAGAAACAGTATGTGAACCATTTGAAAACACCGGATCTGATCTTCAAAATGTAGACGAACACAGTGTCCCTAAACTAATATCACACTAACAGTTATAATGAAAAAAAATAAAATCTTTATTGAACACTCACAGAGCTGGTGGGAAAAATAAGTGAACCCTTGGAAGTGAGCTTCCAGCATCAGCTGATCAGAGCTGCTCAGTGTTCAGGAGGAAGTTTGAAGAGATGCTGCAGCTCAGACAGATTCTCAGGATGTCTGGTGTGAATGTTTCTCTTCAGCTCAGTCCACAGCATCTCTACCGGATTCAGGTCCGGGCTCTGACTGGACCTCTCCAACACGTGGATCTTCTTTGTCTGAAGTCATTCTGTAGCAGATTTACTTTGATGTTTAGGATCATTGTCCTGGAGCTTCACCCAGCTTCTCCTGAGCTTCAGCAGGTAACAGACACCCTGACATTATCCTGTAAGAGACCTGGATAAACCTGGGAATTCATAGTCCAGGTCCAGAGGCAGGAAAGCCCCAGATCATGATGATCCCTCCGCCCTACTTCACCTGTGGGATGATGTTTTCATGTTGGTATGCAGTTCTCTTTCCACACCGCACATGGAGCTGCATTCAAACAATTCAGTCTTAGTTTGATCAGTCCATAAAACATTTTCCCAGTGGTGTTGTGGAGAGCAGCGGCTTCCTCCATGGCGTCCATGTAACCGTGCTCCGTGATGTGTGTGAAGTCGACTCATGAACAGAGATGTTAACCAGCTCCAATGATTGCTTTAAGCTTCAGCTGTTACTTTGAGCTTCTTTGTTACTGAGCGTCTGTTGAACCTTTGGAGTCATCTCAGCTGGACATCCACTTCTGGAGAGAGGAGCCACAGAATCAAATCATCATCAGACTGTGGACCGATGAAGATCTAAAGTCTGGGACCCTTTCAGCTTCATGCAAATCACAAATTCTTGATCATAAGTTCAGTTATTTCTTCTCGCCACAGTATGCTCACATAAATAGTAATAAGTGAATATACATTTATAAATTAAATGAATAACTAAATATAGACTAATGTAAAATACTGAGAGCAACACATGCAAAATACTAATTTACAGGAAAGACAAACAAACAAGCTCATCGCTGCAGCGGCCCAGAGGAGTCTAAAGGATAAGTGACTACTAGACAATGACCACAGTGAGAAGTGGCAGCTGACTGTTACAAAAACACTGTTCATTGATCATTGATCACTGATCGCTTCATCAGTGAGCAGATGTTCTATAAAGTAGCTTGTTCAGGAACACAGTGGTCTACAGCTGATCCACACTCTGCCTCCCATCTGATGTACTTATTATTGATCAGATGTATGTGTTGTCATATCAACAGGATCCATCGATGCACAGTAAACTTACAACTGTTGTTTAACCTGTGAGCCATGCTACTGACACTGACAGCATTGGGTTGTAGGTGAATAAACATATGTAACAATCACACTGAGAGATATTTCAATACTATATGTAAATTTCACATTTAGACAAAACAGGTCAAAAAGGGTAAAGTCTTTTTATTCATTTATTTATTTATTTATTTAAAGATGTGACATTTAATAAAAGGCGTCTGGCTTGTAATTAATCAGTTAATCAAAGTGACTTAGCATTAGCAATTTCCAGTGTTGTTGGTTGGTGCTAATGACACCCTGTCACCTAACTAACATGTTTGGATGCTGATTTCTCAGTTTGTGTATAATTAAAAGGTTGAGGTTAATTCAGAAGAGGATGATGTTTTGCAGTTGCAGTGTTATTTTAATCACGTCTCCCAATAATAAAACCTGAGACATGTTTAATATGCTTTTTTAATTATTATTACTTTTATATTACATAGAACTTAAGTTCCCACTGAAAGTGTCCACTTTCATCCTGGAAATCAATATATATAAGATATTTGAGAATAGTATATGGTTACTTACAAAAATGATAAAATATTAAACGTTCTTTTTTTTCTGTAGCATCATTTTCATCATATTCATTAGAATTAATACGAACAAAAATCTTCATTAACCAAACGAACTTTTATATTTATATAGTGTGATTCTAAAAATATCTCATGGTTGTGTTGTCGGTGCTTGAGGCTTGTTGAGCTGTGAGTCACCGTCTGTTATTGCACGTTATATGATGTGACTGTCCATGATTGCGTCCCAGAGAAACTTCAGGTGTTTTTGCTGCGACGGCTGATGAGTCGAAACTGCGGGCGCGTCCCCGCCCACCTGTAACAGAAACCGCCTAAAAAAGCTCGTCCCCGCTTTCTCTTCCCCATTCAAGGTGCGGCAGAGGAACAGGTGCGTGAGGAGCCCCAGAGAAAACTTTACATCACAGTTATCTAAGTCTTTTTCAGCTAAGGAGCAAGAAAACAGATAATAACTGAAGAAGTTGGTTTGTCAGCAGCAAAGCGAAGTTTGTTGAAACAGTTAATTTGGGATTTGAACCTTGAGAGCAGGTGGACGCCGTCTTTATTTATTCGAAGTCAAGTGGTTGAAGAGAAGAAGAAGAAGAAGAAGAGGAAATGGCGAACTCCGGTCTGCAAATTTTGGGCTTTGCTCTGGCGCTTCTGGGAGTAATTGGACTGGTAGTTGGCACCATCATGCCTCAGTGGAAGATGTCTGCTTATGTCGGGGACAACATCATCACAGCGGTGGCCATGTACGAGGGACTGTGGATGTCCTGTGCCTTCCAGAGCACAGGACAAATCCAGTGCAAAGTCTACGACTCCATCCTGCAGCTCAACAGTAAGTCACATGTTAGATTTCAGTGTGTGTAGTCGAGGGTTTGTTCACCGGAAGTCACATTTTAAGACTTAATTAAAAAAAAAATTGATTATCTGGAAACCCTTGCAAAAGCTATTAAATGTTGCTTTGAGTATTTTATTCTTCTTCTCTTCTTTTGTGTGTAGTATCATAAATCTATACACAACTTGAACTTGTTTTAAAGTTAATATAACTATAACTTGAATGACCTCTATATCCTATATCCTCTATATAAAAACTGTAGTTAATATGTAACAGGACATGATGTGACAAAGTGACGTGCACCTGCTGGATTACAGAGGCTTGTTTCCTTCAGGCCACTCTTTACAAGACGTTCTGAGCTGTTACTAGACTCCTGTGGCTGGCCTAACCGGTTTTGTCACTTATTAACCCTCACCCTTTTTATTCTCTGGTAAGCAGTTATTTGGATTAAGACACAGTATCAGGCCTCGCCTTCACTGTGCACCACAGCAGTGTAGTCTGTTATAAAGAGCCAAAACATTTTAAATTCCTCCTGCTTGATTGGCAGGAATGTGTGCATTACTTTTTACACCCAGGCAATGATTGACCTGTGGCCATTGTTCAGTGTAGCTACCCCCCCTGCTTGAATAGCACAGGTAGTTAGAGGCGGAGCACCTGTGTGGACCACTGTTTAGTCAACATGGTTAACTTCCAGGCCCACCTGGTTGGTCTTTGGCCTGCAGGGCATCAAATCAACATAAAGTCTAATTCTTTGCCACATTCTGGGCCCAAAAAGGTGGATTTTTCTTCAACACATTTATGTAACATGCAGCATTTACTTTATTTTCTTCCAAATGTCTGAGCACATAATGCACTGATTAAACAGTTACAGTCGGCCCTGATTCCTGCTGTGGTATGGCCGGTTCAGGGGCAGTAGTTAAGGGGAATTAGTGGAAAAGTACTGGTTATTCACTGGTAACCATTAACAACAAGGGAAATCTGAAGTTAAATGAAGAAGGTGAAACATCTGTGCTCATTTAAAGTCTGACATCATGTTTACAACTCCTATCTTCCTGTCTGCTGTCATAAAACTGTGGCTAAATGGGTCAATGGTAGCACGACAGTTGGATTCTTCATTGTGCATGTTTCAAATTCAACTGATGGTGGTAAACTTCCCTCAGGCTCAAACTGCCTCTATGGTTTTATATGCAGGTTCTTCCCTCTGTTCTTCTAGATTCAACATATATGTTAAAACGCATTAACAGCTGGCAGGTACCTGTTGGTTCACAAACTGGCCATTTTTTCCAAATGGCATGAGTCCATTTTTATTTAATTTTTTCATGTTTGGCTTATCAAAACATTTGATAGAATATCTGCAGCACAATGCGTCTTATCGCCTCTTTAAACATGAACACAATCCAACTTTGATACACACTGTGTGATTAAAGCTGTGGTTAGATATGGAGCAAGTGAACAAATAATGGTTCATTATTCAGAAATACCTGCTGAAAATCTCCTCACACACTCCTGAAGTTTGGGAACATCTGATACTAAAGCTGTGAAAAGTTTGACAACTAGACTCTCAGCTTTTCTTTTTGGACAGTAGTTTCATTCTCTGAAATGTCCACCTGCTGAGAAGCGGGATGTGAGTACCTGAAATGGGGAGTGTCTTCCTCATGAAACCTGAAACCTGGTTAGACCTGTTTTTGACTTGCACACATACAAACTCACACACACCCCCTTCCCCCCCCCCCCCCTCCCTCCAGAGTTTCTTTGCCCTTCCGGTTAGAGCCGGTTTCTGTGGTGCATTGTTATAGAGAGCGGCAACGAGACACAAGAGACAGAAGCTGATCTGTTGTATGTAAGCAGTGTTTGTATACGCTGCTTTTTTTTTCCTGATGGTGGTTTTAAAGCACATAAAAGTTACTCTGCAAAACTGGTGTCATCATCACAAACCACTGTAGGAATCCATTATTAATAACTTAAGTCTTGTACCGACTTTAACTCTATCCTGTCCTCTGATCCAGGCGCCCTCCAGGCAACCCGCGCCCTCATGATCGTCAGTATTATTGTAACGTTGGCTGGCCTGGGCGTAGCCTGCATGGGAATGAAGTGCACCAACTGTGGAGGAGATGATAAAACACGCAAGTCACGCATCGCTATGACTGGTGGCATCATCATCCTGATTGGATGTAAGAAGCCTTTTAATCTTAATGTTTGTTTTTTTTGTTTTGTTTTTTTTGCCCTTTTCTTCTCCTTGGATTCGTAGCAGTTTGACACTCATGATGTTCTTTACTCTCCTACAGCTTTGTGTGCCATTGTCGCCTGCTCTTGGTACGCTCACGACATCATCCAGGCCTTCTACAACCCTTTCACCCCCGTCAACACCAAGTAAGTAACCCATCACTCAGCTGAGCACCTCCTTCAGCAGAATACAGTCTCCAAACCTGCTGGTTTATTGAAGAGACCAGCTCTAAGCTCTTCCTGCTCCCCTTCTGTATCCAAACATTTGTTTGTGCCCATCCCCTCTTCACATGCTGATGAATGTATTGTGTGTTTGTCTTCCCTTTTTACTGACTGTAAATCTCTTCCTCAAGGTATGAGTTTGGGTCTGCCATCTTCATCGCGTGGGCTGGAGCGTTCCTGTCTGTAGTGGGAGGTGCCATGCTGGCAGCTTCCTGCCCAAAAGGCAAACCTACACCAAAGTATCCCATCTCCAGACCCCCCAGCAGCAAGGAGTATGTGTGAACAAGACGGGACTCTTAGTCTGTTAGAGGCTGAAGGAACACTTTGACATTCATGTTAGTCCAACTCAGTGATCCACGTTGAGAAGATGTATACCAGGAGGCGTTCAGTACCTGTTTTTTACTTTGTATTTTAGTTTCTCCAGGGCTGCCCTATGATGTTACTGTAATATTATTTTAACAAATGCATTTAAGTTTTAAATAATAGCTGTTTACTTATAAGAAAGCTCTCATTGGCCTTGTCCTGTCTGGAACTGCAGTCTGTGCTTATACTGATTTGTATACTATGTAATATACTGTCCACTTAGTTAACACCTGTGAAGCACTAAGTTAAACCTAAGGTGAAACACCCACGATGTTGTACAAATTGGTATGTAGTAAATACACAATATATACGGTGCCTTAGAATATACAGTGTGTTTGGAAAATAGTTGAACACACTGAATAGAAAGAAGTGGCAATGAAGAGGCTCCATTCATTACTTTGTAGGCTAAATGCAGTTAGTTCATCATCTGGCACCTGATGAGCAGTTTTGTTTTATTTCCATGTTTGTATTTATGTGAACAAGACAAATTTATTCAATAACAGATTTGACCATTTTATTTTAATCAAGTGCTGGAGTGAAATTTTACTTACAGAAATGACGACGTCCTGATTCTTTATTAACTCAGTTTGCCAAAGAAACATGCAGCAGGAGAAATGTGGCTGTTTGTCAACTTCTGCGATGAGACTGTTTGTGTGAATGGGCTCATCGTATGATTTATATTTCTTAGTCATGGTAGCTGTTGCTGCATTCGTCAAATTTTCAGTTTTTTTTTAAATGTTTTAAATTGTGATTTGCAAAGTTTGTGTTGTACATATAATAAAAGTGAAAAATTTACAGTTTCTGGGTTTTGGAAAGTACTTTAATGCAAAAGAGTTAAATGTAAACTTTATTTTCACAGCGCCCCTTTCATACACAATGCAGCTCAAGTGCTGTACAAAATAAACAGGGAAAAAAGAATTTCAAAAACTTTAAATATTACAATTAATTTTAATCTTAATTCAGGAGGTAAAATATTAAACGGTTAAAAAATTATGGAAAACAGCTACTGCATACAGAGTACTGGCGTCAAATATGACATGGAGACCAAAAAGCTTTGCCTGACTGGAAACTTTATGTAAATTTTTTCAGTATTTCCACAGATATCCCTTCAGTTTAAAACACAAGCTTCACCCTTAAAGAAAACAGGCGCACAAAACATACACCTGACATGTGGAGACATTATGTAATTATGAACACACTCCCCTCAAACATACAGTGTAGTGGAAATGTTAGTGAGCTGATGTGACACACTCAGGCTGCAGAAGATTTTCCCACTGAGGCAGAGACACACTTGTCTCTGGCTGGAAGCCATCTTCCTGTAGGTGGATGGCTGCACAGCATCATAATGGCTCACAAAGTGAACGTTGCTTTGGTGTTATTGCCCCCTTGTGGTGAGTACAGGCAACTGCTTTTAATGGAGACATTAAATGAAGTGTATGGATGCATAAATATAATTCACTTTATAAATAGCGTATCTCAGGTTGCTTTTAAAAGTATTTGAAGTGATGCAGGGAAAGTAATATTTCACTACAGTGGAGTATTTGAATCCACCTTCTTCCTTGTGTCTTTTTGGAGCGTCTCACCTCGCCTCACTTTGTCACTATGTGTCTTCAAGTTGGGATTCTAGTGATTTATTAGACCCAGAGGTGTCTTGCTCTAGTTCTGCCTCTCTTCTGTTCTCATTCTGCCTGCGCCTGCCATCCTCTAATCATTATTTTTCCTCCCCACAGGCCAGATCATAAAAGTAGTAATGATAATGATTTCACTCCTAAGTGGCCAAAGCTTCTGACCCCACTCTGCCCCTATAAACTTAAAGAAGGGAACTATTTTCTTCTTTTACAATAAGATTCTAGGAACAACAGTGCTCTGGGAAAACTACCTTGTTGGGGAAAAAGTCCTCTTTAATGTAAATAATGATAATAATTGGGTATAGGTGATACTTTGTTGATGTATTGATGAAATTTTGAGTTTGATTAATCATTAACTGAGAGTGTGTGTGTGTGTGTGTGTGTGTGTGTGTGTGTGTGTGTGTGTGTGTGTGTGTGTGTGTGTGTCACATAATTCAGCTTTCAGAGTGTGAAATATTCTTTCCCTCTCATTCTCACAGGTGGATTATTCATTAAATTAAAATCATTAAAACAAAACTTTTATTGGAGAAGCTTCTTCCTTGTTTAGAGAGCTGAGTCTTCCCTGTAAAGAGTCTGTACAGGTCGGACTCTGAACACAACACGACTGAACTAATCTCACATGAAGGGCTGTTCATCACAGTAAATCTAGGCCATCACAGCACACACACCTTTCTGAGCTACTGTATCACTGATAATGAATCATTACATCATCCTTTTATCACCCTGACAGTAAATGATGCACGACTGTCAGTTACTGGACAGATGCAGCTTTAATGTGAGGGGAGGGGGTTGCTGTCAGTGTCTGATTTCCCTGGACTTCCCCACACGTGTCAGACGACCAGTTTGATCCTGGAGTATTGAAAGTTGCTTAGTTGTATAATATGCAATGTCAAATAGTTTGCTAATGTGAATACAGCAGCATTGTTCCTGCCTCCTGACTTCATATTCTGTCCATCTGCAGCCATGTTAATGTAGTTTTGTATGAGCTGCAGGTCTTGAGGTTATATCTTTGCAAAGCTGTTTAACGTATACGATTTATGATTTGTTTGTCTGTGTCTTTGTGAAATATATTATGCAAAACAAACGGGCTCAACACCAGGGTTTACACCATGAGGCTCAGACATCATGACTCACAGTGTGCCGACTCATATTTCAGCTTGATTTGATCCAAATAAACTGACACTGACAAAAACCCTCCACAAGGGTGGCTTGACACACACACACACACACACACAAAATAGATCCTGCTTAAAAAACATGAACACAACTCTCACCATGGCAACAGTGTTGGAAACACAACTTCCTGTCACGTCCAGTTCTCTCTGAAGCTGTTGGAAACACTACAGGCTGGTTCTGTCGCCTCATGACTGCACAGCTATAAAATATCTGAGCGAGGGTCACATGATGCAAACGACACTCTGTTTGCTGGTCTAAATTATGTGAGAATTGAACCAACCAAAGTAGTCGAACAGTTGGAAACAAAATAAAATGAATATTATCCAACAGAATATTGGTTTATATTCTGATACATTGAATATGATTCCCAGTGGCTTCCTCAATAAAAAGGTGTAAAATGCACTGAGTCTATACAGGCGCCCTCTTTGCAGATTGGTAACTTCTGACAGTTAAACATCTTGTGAACAGTAACAAGCCAGTTTTATTTATTTTGCTCACTCCTGGGACGTTGCTCTGACAAACAGACCAGCAGCAGGTCAGAATACTGATGGTCCAACAACATGACAGCCTGATGCTTTTCAGGAAGTGTGAATCCTACTGACCCAGCTCCTCCTCCTGCACTCTGCAGGATCTGCAACCATGGACCTAACAAACACCAGAGTGACAGCGTTGTACTGGAAGCAATAAAGAACATAAAGCTTGTTCACATCTCAGAGCGGAAGTTGGGATCATTGTAAACAAGCAGAATAAATCACACAACATATGGTTCACAGATTTCATCAGCACTGTGTGGAATATAAAGATGTAATGTTGCCTTTTAACGATCATTTTAGTACTAAAACTGCACGTTCTGCTGCTTTCTGCCTGGACGCATATGGAGAAAAAACAAGCTATTCAGGAGAAATTAGTCGTGAAGAAGTCTGTGCACTCTCGAGGAATGCAAATATCTCTGACGTCCTGGGTTCTGCACTGGATACACAAAGACTAATTTCAACAACAGAAAATTGTCTGTCACATGTAAGAAAATCAAATTTAGGAAAATGATCACATAACATAACAAGATTACTCTCTACACAGAGAAAGACAAGAGCAATGGATCCACATTATTTGTTTTTATTTAATCAATCTTGGGACAGTCGGTCCAAACCCACAGAATATTTAATGTCATACAAACTCACACTTGTTTCTTGCGACCATGGAATGATCACCTGCTCTAACAGGCGCCAACATTTACATCGTTAATCTGAACTTTAACTGGTCAAATGAGCACAGGGTTTGTGGCTTCATTAAACGTGACGACAGGTGAGTATTCCTTAGAACAACAGCGTAGAACATCTTCGAGAATTCTCCACATCGGGTTTGGAAAGTTTTTGCAAGTCATCTGCAAATTCCTTCATGCAGTCAGTCGCTCACAGAGCAAGTATTTAACCTTTGTCCTATTGGCTCTCAGTAGTCGTGACAACATCAAGCAGACCAATCACCACACAGGCCAACAGATGTGACAGGTGCTGCACTTGTTTCACGTCACTCTCAAAAGGTTAATGGGGCCTGTGTCTAGGATTAAGCGGCTGACTCTTTGTGGACGGTAAAATACTTGAAATATAAGAACAGGTTGAATTCTGGCGTTTCAGACAGAAATAAACATATTTCTTGTCGTGGGACCACAGGAATCTCACAAGAGCACAAACATTCAAAACATTTCAAAAAGTGCAAAGTTCTTGATGGTACCAGACAAATCAATACAGTGACCATCAGCCAACAGTTCTGCTTTTCCAACATTGACAGACGATGTGACCTCGACCGATATTAGCTGATTTCTTATTGAACGGATTTGAAGTTTCTTGAACCGCTTTGTGACTCGTCTTGTTTGTGTGCTTTTAATTGGGTGTAACGATCTGATGCATTTTTATTGTTCCTGCATACAATGCTGCCAAAAACTAGTGAGAATTTTATTTACACATTTACAAAAATGCAAATTTGTAAGTTGGTTCTCTCAGGGTTTATTTAACAAACCAAATTATTTCTCTGCCCCAGCGAGAGCCTGATGGAGGCGGAAGGACAATGCAGCAGCACAGTGCACTGCCCCCGTCCACGTCACTATCTATCCAGTCTTCATACAGGAGGGCAGGTGGAGCTGGATTACACTTTGAATTCATGACAACTGTGAGGCACTGAGTTTGGCTTCAGAGGGTTTAAGAGGTGCAATGGATATAAACAAGTCATAAAAAGAGATTTAAAAAAAAAAAAAAAACTATGGTTATTTAGACTTATTTAGCATCCTTCACCGTCTGCCTCCACTTCCACATCTCAGCAACAACCTAAAGAAACATTAGAAAAAGCAGTTATCTCAAAGGCCCAAACATGAGGCAGACAATTTAAAAATCAAAACCAAACCTGCACTTTTTTCTTATGTTCATATTATTTCATTTGCTCCTCCTAATAAACAAAGAATTCAATGTATTCACTTCAACGTGATTTAAAATCTCAGCCTATGATGCTCTCTAGTGGTGGGATCGATAAATGCTCTGAAAGTAGCAAACTACAATGTTTTATTTTTAACAGACAAACAACATATTCCTATCAGAGGCTTGAGTCTACAAACCTTTCCTGTAACATCTGAGTAATGAAAATAATGGAAAAATTCTCTATTGTGCTATAATAATAATAAACAAAGAATTTCAACATTTTTTAATCTCAGCAGAGCAGTGACTAAATGTGTCTTCCAGTCTGATTCTTGAGATGGAGGCAACATCAGTTTACAATGCAGGTCAGCTATCTATATCTATGACTGATAGTGACTAAAGTTTCAAACAGTTTCAGTGGTTGAAATTCAAACAGACTTGGGGAATAAAAAGCATTAGCTGTGCCAAATATGTAAATGGTGACGTGTCCTTTCCGAATTTATTAAACTTTTTATCAGCTAAAAAGAAACTCACAACATGAAGTTTCCTGAATTATTTTCCAAGATAATCTAGGACAACAAATGGTGTGTG